ATTTGCATGGCAAATGCATGTAGAATGAATAATGTCTAAGACGTCTGATTTACAAGAACTTTTCAAGTACTGCAATTTTTGCTCTTTAGTTAAAGTTTAGTTCTTATGAACTGTTGCGGAAAATAAATCTTCGAATTCGATCCACTCTTCAATTTTTCATATGGAAAGCGATAACTTTGGTAATTTTGCTTCAGAAACAGAAATATCTTTAGGCGAAATGTTCTCGTTAGCATTAGATTTTACAGAACTGGATTTTAAATGTTTTCTTTTAATTATCAAATTAATTTCGTCTAATTTGTCTATGATAGTTTCTTTCACTGTTACAAATGCGTCAATGTTTTTATCATAACAATGCCAGAATATAGAATCAACAACTTGTTTTGCTTCTTGAAAACATGAAATTTTAGATTTATATAACTGTAGCAAGGCTGTATCTGCTTTTTCCATAGTTGAATTTACTTTTTCTTTAAACCTTGATTAGATTCTACACTTTTTTTTATTTGTTTTAGCAGATTTTAATTCAGCCATATTGATTAAGTAAATCAAGAATTTATTGACTTGATTAAGTAAGTCAAGAATTTACTTACCAACCTTTCGAATGTGCGGATTGTGTATTAATCAAACATGCGGTAGTAACCCATAAGTTTTCAAATAATATATCCTGAGGCTCAATGACCAAAAGTAATGTGGATGCGGATGCGATGTGTTTTGCGATGATCAATTAAACATAAACATTTATGAACCATAACTATTTATTGAATTGTCAGAATGCATAGCGTGCCGCTATGGGCGAAAAACAAATTTCATGTGAGTAGTTTACATCAGTGACGTTATAGCCAAGATGCGCTAAGACCGGCGCCAAGAACAAAATATCGCCAGATACGTTGAAAAAATGTTGTTCATACAAGAAGAACGGTTAGTACGTAACATTTGGCCTAGCTTGTCTCACTCAGTTTTCCATGTTACATTACACAGAAAAATACAACAATTTCACAAATAATGCCCTAAAATCATCTATCTAAGTACGAAATTCGTAACACTGCTCCCTCCCAAGGACCGCACGTCCCGGGCAGTACAGTCCCTGGACAGGAAACCAAACTATAATTAAGGCGAATCAAGGCACAACCTAAACAATAATTTCAGTAAATAACATGAAACAAATCAAGTACTAAATCAATAATGAGTGCATGAATTTGCAAATTTAGAAACAAATAGGACCAAAGTCTTAGTATACTATTTACATTATACAGGGTGATTCTAAATTGTTTTTACAAATTAAGAGGAGTGATAGTACCCATCCAAACGAGCAATAATTACCATAGAACATAGGGTCGCATTCCACTCAGAGGCAGAAAAGAGGAATATTAGAACTACAACCTGAACTTACGCCAGTGTTGGGAAAGTGAATGAATGAGACAAAAGTTGCGCAATTAGATTTATTGTTTAGTGAAAAACTCACAGAAAGTTCTCAAAAATGAAGACCACGTGTGTCATTGCACAGTTGACATCGGCAAAGGAACGACTGGAGCACCCTCTCGAAGATTCTTGGTGTCGCGTTAATTTTGTCCGCGGCAACAACGATTCTCCCCACAAGATCTTCAGCTGAGTTCACAAGTCTCTCGTGCACTAAAGATTTCATGTGCCTCCAGAAGAAACAGTTCAATGTGTTGAGGTCCGGTGAGCGAGGAGGCCAAGCCCGAAGACTCTTGGTGTCGCGTTAATTTTGTCCGCGGCAACAACGATCCTCGCCACAAGATCTTTAGCTGAGTTCGCAAGTGTCTCGTGCACTAACGATTTTACGTGCCTACAGAAGAAAATGTTCAGTGGATTTGAAGTCCGGTGAACGAAGAGGCCAAGCCACCGGATCGCCCCGTCCGGTCCATCGTGCAGGATATGTGGCATTCAAAACGTTACGAACCATGATGGAAAAATATGCTGGGGCTACATCGTGCATAAACCACATGTCTCTCTGGATGGGGAGTGTGATACTTTTTTGGCAATATGAAGCAACTCCAATGAGGGAACACAGAAAAAACTTTATTTAGCATTCAATCTTACCTAAAAATAAAGATTCAGAAAGCTTTGAAGAAATTCTAAACTTACCAAAACGTGAACAAGAGGCTTGGATCAAGGGTATGCAAGAAAAAATACATTCTCTAAAAGAAAATAAAACCTATACACTTACATAATTACCACCAGGAAAACATGCAGTAGGCAGCAAATGGGTGTTTAAGACAAAATATGATGAAACTGGTTAAAAATATAAAATACAAAGCACGCTAGTAGCCAAAGGATTTACTCAAAAAATACGGCAGTGATTATGATGAAACATTTTCACCAGTAGTGAAACACACTACGATAAGAGTTTTCTTAGCATGGGCAGCGTATTATAATGCCAAGGTACATCAACTAGATGTTTAAACAGCTTTTTGCACGGCAACTTAAATGAAGAAATATATATGGAACAACCAGAAGGATCGTGTGTTCCGGAAGAAAGACAAAGTTTGTAAATTACAGAAGTCTATTTATGGTCTCAAACAAGCAGCTAGGTGCTGGAATGCAGAAATTGAGAATACATTGAAGAATCTTGGATTCAGTCAAAGCAAAGCAGATCCGTGTCTTTTCACAAAAGTGGTTCGTGATAAAAGAATTAATTTAATAGTGTATGTTGATGACATCCTAATAAGTTCTAAAGAAGAAGGACTAATTCTTCAAACAATTAATGATTTAAAGAAACGTTACCAAATAACGCATCTTGGTGAAGCTAAATATTTCTTAGGCATGCAAATAAATCGCAAGGAAGATGGAAGTTATCTCTTATCACAGAAAAATAAAATAAATCAACTTTCAAGCAATTTCATCTTGAAGAAGCGAAACCCGCCAGCACACCAATGGAAACAACTATTATAACCTAAACAAGGAAGAAAATCTCCTAAATTCAAAGGATAAATTTCGCCAAGCTTATTGGAAGTCTCTGTATATATCGTCTATCGCAAACCAGATATCACAGCTTCAATTCACATACTCAGCAGAAGGTGTAATAATCCACGTCAAAAGGACTGGAATGCTGTTAAAAGAATCATTAGATACTTAAATACGACAAAGAATCTATCCTTGCAAATTTCGTCGAGTGAAGAACCTAATATTACAGTTTATTCAGATGCTGATTGGGGACAAGATATTGAAGATAGAAAATCTACATCAAGAAGTGTTATTTTATTAGGAAGAAACTGTATTTCGCGGTTTTCAAGAAAACAAACTTGTGTTTCGTTATCCTCAACAGAAGCTGAATATGTTGCACTATCGCAAGCTACGCAAAAACTAGGTATTATGGCTATTAAAATTAACAGAAGATTTCAATCTACCCCAAACTCTACCGATAAAGGTATTTGAAGATAATCAGTCTACTATAAGACTTGTAGAATCTGAAAAATTCAGTTCGCGCACAAAACATATTGATACAAAAGTTCATCATATACGCGACTTGAATAACAAAGGAATAGTAGAACTTGCTTATCTTTCGACAGAGCAAATGGTTGCTGATATTATGACTAAACCAATTCCTAAAGCTAAATTTCAGATTTGCAGGAATGAATTGCAATTGATATGAGTTTCATTAGCAAAACAGGGGCGATGTTAGCATAAATTTAGGTATTTTGCATAATGAAACTCGAAAGGCATACGAAACGGACGTGCGCCAAGATATATATTGGCGAGAGAAAGTAAAGTTCGTGATCAATACAAAGCATTCGATTTTCACCCTAGCTACTTGTACCTGGCTAAAGGTCTAATCCAGTACTACTTTCTTCTCTTTCAGGTACGATGTCGGCCCACCAGCGGCCGAGCGGTAAAGTCGCTGAACACTGGTAGTTCGGTCCGAGGTTCGAATCCCGCGAACGGGCTGGCTGCATGGGTGTTTTCGTGGTTTTCCCCATGTGTAACGTGTATACGAGCCAGTTTCCCTTAGAAAGTCCTCCACGAAGGCATCCCTCCTCTTAGGCAGATAGCCCTCGAGGCTTTGCCATAATCACACACACACACGCAGGTACGATGTCGAAGTATGTTCCTGTTTATTTTTCTTATTGCCTAAAATAGGTAAGCCTGGTGATTTAGGACTGATGATGATTCTCTGTAAGTTATTCTTTTCAATACTTCAGTGTTTTAATGTCCGTGAACATTATTACTTTTGTTATGCTTAAGTTAAGCAAAATTATCCTATTTTATTAAATAAAGATTTGGTAGTTAATCTTTTGACTTATGATTCTTTAATTCTGTGCTTGAGGAAACTTACTCATTACGCCTTCAGTGCTAATGCATAACCAACATACATAACCAATATCCAATACGGTAATAAAATAAGACAATTCAATATTAACAGGGCTAAATCGCAGAATAGGCTGCATCAGTCGAAGCTGTGTTTACTTCTCTTATGCTTGGACACGCCTTTTTATTACGTAATATTGGTTACGCCTCTTCTTAAAACCAAGTTATAAGTATACTATAGCTTCGTATTTAAAGATAATTTAAATTATATTTTAACTGAGTTGAAATGGTAGGTTTATAATTTTCTACGTGAGATTTTTTTAATTATAAATCTACTTTTGTGTGTTGTGTGGTAGTGTTGGCATTTAACGCAATGGATTATCTCTCACAAATGTATTATTAAGATACCAAACGACTGAAAACGATCATTACCCAAACCTTAAACCAAGTTATAAGTATACTATTATTTAATAATAATAGTATCATGAGTTGAAAGAAATAAAATATTGAATGCATAGTAAAATATTGAAGAAAATATTGAATGCATAGTAAAATATTGAAGAAAATATTGAATGCATGAGTTAAAAATTATAACCGTAACTTCTGAAAATACAGAAAAGAATTCTAATGTTTTGATTATTGATGAGTGTGTCAAAATCGGTGCTTACTGCAGAATGGATGAGTATCTGAATCTGGATTTTTTTATCAGTTGGAGCGAAGAGGTAAAAAGCGTTATTGAGTGGTGTATGGAGAAAAGTTTGATTGCAATATCGTATAAGTGCCCAATTTGTGGAACAAATATGAAACTAGTAGAGCGAAAAAACCGTATAGACGGTTTTGAGTGGATGTGCAGAGTTACTGGAGGCGAATGTAGGCATCGAATTTCAAGGTCTGTTCGAAAGAACTCCTGGTTTGCGAAGAGTAAATTGAGCATGTGTGATGTTTTGCGAGTTACCTATATGTGGTTGGGTAAGTGCGGGAATGATTTTATACGAACGGAATTACGTATTGCTAAAAATACGGTGACAGATTGGAAAAGTTTTTGTAGGGAAGTATGCATGGAGTTATGTTTGAAGGAGAATGTGATGTTGGGTGGGGAAGGCGTGATTGTCGAAATCGACGAAAGCAAGTTTGGCAAGCTAAAGTATCATAGAGGAAAAAGAGTCGAAGGAAGATGGGTTTTTGGTTTGGTTGAGAGAGGGACAGATAAATGCGTCTTTAGAGTTGTTGAAAACAGAGGTGCCGAAACATTGCTAGAAATCATTAAAGAGAATGTTCTACCAGGATCGATTGTTATATCGGATTGTTGGAAAGCGTACGACTGTCTCGAGTTCGAAGGATATGCGCACTTGAAAGTCAATCATAGCTTGCAGTTTAAAGATCCAGAAACAGGTAGGCATACCAATAGTATTGAGGGAACTTGGGCAGCAATCAAAAGAAGTTTCCGTGGCTCTAGTAAGGCAAAAGGACAGTTTGATTCCTATCTTGCTGAATACATTTGGAGAAGGAAACACAAGAAATCCGACGCCAGCCAATTGATGCATATATTTCTGAGTGAGATCACAGCCATATATTCTGCAAAAGGAGAGGACAGAAGGTAAGTTTCATTTATTATTGTTATTGACTTAAGTAAAATATTGGGTGCTTTTATAATATGATAGTTTGGATGTTCGGTAGTTGCTTTATTCTGGCAGCTTTATTTTTGTTTTGTATCATTTTCCTGGACACATTGTTTTGCAACTCGAATCAATGGAGTTGGTTACGCGCGAGTTTCTGCAGTTCTGATTTCTTCAAGTGAAAGCAGATTTCTGAGTATATAAGCAATGGAGAATTTATTCATGTCCGATTTTTTTTAAGTTAAAATAGATCGATGTGCACATGGGCAAAGCATGTAGTGCGCAATGCCGAGGTTGTGCGCGATGCCGAGTTTGTGCAATTCTGGAATTTTTTTTAAGTGAAAATAGATCGATGTGCACATCGGTAAAGCCAATGTGGTGCGCAATGCCGAGTTTGTGCAACTCTGGGATGTTTATTTAAGTGAAAATAGATCGATGTGCACATGGGCAAAGTCAATGTGGTGCGCAATGCCGAGTTTGAGCAATTCTCTGATTTTTCTTTAAGTGAAAATAGATGTATGAGCACATGGACACCGAGTTTGTGGAATTCTTTGATGTTTTTCGAGCGAATACTGATCGTTGTGTAAAAGGGAAAACGAGGTTGTGTGTGATGCCGAGCAGTAATGTAACTTTATTTATGTGCAATGTTTAACATATCGTTTGTGTATTTTAAATTTGCATTGTTGTTTTAATTGTGAAAACATTTTTCATTTAAATTGTATTTTTAATTTTTTTGTTTTGATATATATATATCGATAGCCCGACGATCTACTCAACAGTAGCAAAACTGCAAACTTTAACCCTTTAAGTAACGTTTACCTCATATTTTAATACCTAGTGTTTGTTATCGTAATTGCACTTGATTATATGAGTTCATTGATAATATGTGTGTGTGTGTGCCTATGTGAAGCATTGCTTAGTATTCCAAGTTTGTAGTATTAATTTTATTATATTATTTTCTTTCATTTTGAGAAGTTAGATTTTTTTTATTTATTAATGCGTAGAATTCTAGTATGCCTACACAGAATATGGCGTGATTTAGGAATTTTAGAAAATGATATGAAAGCTGTGTAATGATGTTCATATGCAATAAAAATATTCTTCTTTTTTCATTAATGTAAAGTTTAAACTTTTTAGAAAATAACGAAAATTGTCTAATTATTGGTATGTGAGGAATTATGTCGTTACGTAGCAAGAAGGTAATTTGTAAAAATGGTAAAATTGAAATGTTACACAATATGAATTTAAATTTTAAAAAATCTTTTTTTATTTGTATAAATGCTTCAATAAAAAATCTTGAAGCTCTACAAGTATTAGAGACTGCGACGTTGTTTATCGTTTTAATAATTAGTAGAATTCGCTCACTGTATCATGGTAATTTTAAATATAAACAATTTTATTATACTTATTATCAGTAACGCCTAAGCCTAAATGTTATAAATGTAAATTAAAAGTAAAGAATTTGATATTAATTTACAATAATAAACAATTTATTATTGTTATTTTTAAGAGAAAATAGAAAGTACGCGTAGTGTAAATGCGAGACTGCATTGTGACGTCACAAGCTTAGTCCCACACATTTATAGACGTCACACAGCTCAGCCTACTGAACTTTGTTGATGCAGCCTGTTCTGCGCTTTTACCATTAACGGGAAGTAATAATCTGGTATCACTAATATTATGTTCAGTGATGAACTAATAAAATAAAGCAATTCAATATTAACACGAAGTACTAATCTGGTATCACTAATATTATGTTCAGTGATGAACTAATAAAATACAAATACGCATGATTATTCGATCTCGCCGGTGCCTCCAAAGTAATTATAACTGTGATACTTCTTTGGCAATATGAAGCAACTCCAATGATGGAACACCCCCCCCCCCCCCAAAAAAAAAAAAAACTTTATTTAGCACTCAAGATACAAAACAAGAAGAAAAAAGAATTCTAACATTTAAAAATAAATTACATTCTTCGTGCGAGAGTCGCACGTGGCACTGGAGCCTGGTTTAAAATACTGCCATTCACAAATACCTTAATGTTCATCTAATTAAATTATTTATTTTAAACTACAAGACTTTAATAATATTTAAAGCTGTTGCAGGAGCGAAACAGCCTGCAATAAACTGGGAAGCAGTTGTTCCAAGAAGATATGGTATGTTGCGCCAGTCAAACGATCCGGCATGATGTAAGGGGATACTACGTAATCACCTAGGATACCTGCTCAGACGTTCACGGAAAATTTCTAGTGGTGTTTACGAGAAGTAGTGCAGTGGGGATTGCTGTCAGACCAAATGTGTTGACTGCGCACGTTGAAAATGACTTCTCTACTGAATGCTGCCCCATCACTAAATAATATTAATATAGTAAATCGTGGATTATTATTCCTCATTCCAAGCATCCACTGCACAAAGTCTGCCCCGCAGGGATAATCATCTGTGTCCAGAAATTGCACTTTTTGCACGTGGTAGAGGTGCATGCGTCCTCGTGTAAAATACGCCACACCACTAGCTGAAAAATATCCATTTCGTATACCACCGTCACGTACTTGTGGAAGGAACTGCTTCAAATCTAGTAAAAACTCTTTCTTCAATTTCTGGAGTTCCTTCATTTCGCGAACATCCTGGACTGCTTTTTGAGATGGCGGAAGAACCGGTTTCTCAGTCTTCGATCAACACTGGAAAAGGCTGGATGACTTAAAAACCGACGAGTTGGAAATCTTCGTGCTTCGCGTCCATTACCTTTTGCTTCACCACATGTGATGTGAGTGAATATCTGCCTCATACGTGTACAACGCTATAGCATTCACCATGTTTCTACCATGCCATAGCATTCACCAAGTTTCGAACCATGTTATCGAGGTAATACTTAAGGTGATAATTTTGTGCCGTTTTCAAGGACACCATTTGCTCTGATTGGGTTTCTTCGGTACCTACTAAGAGTAAAATGCTGCTGCTTCTCAGTGCAAATTTGCATACGGTTAATTCTTGATAGTCTTAGGAGATAGACAGTCTCCGTGTCTTTCCTCGATGCGTCTCTGCTTTTCCCTTTTCTGCCTCTCAGAGTGGAATTGCGACCCTATGTTCTATGGCAATTATTTTGTTGGTCTGGATGGGTACTACCACCCCTCTTAATTTGTAAAAACAATTTAGAATTACCCTGTATAAACTATGGATATTAAGTACTATGGCCATACTCAGAGGCTTGCCTATCGTACTGAGCGACTTTAGAATTCGATAACTTATGGATCCGAACTACGACGTTGATCCGCCTGTTTAGGAGTGTGAAGGACCATTCCAAGGTAACTGCAGTTTAGCAGAGATTCCTTTCCGTCGAATCGGATTCCACAGCCACATTCTGTAACCTTCGATGAATTGATGTCCTGTAGCTGTCGTGTCATATCGGATCTTCATCCGGTAGTAAAAGCTGTCTTTTGTCCGTCATCAGGATGTATCTCTACCTGCCAATATTCACTCTTTAAATTAAGCGTTGAGAACTATTTGCTTCCGGAAAGAGTGCCTAGAATGTCGTCACTTCCCAAAAGGGGGTAGCTCTCTTTCTTCGTTCAGCCGGCGATAGTCAACTCAAAATCTCGTTGAACCGCCTTTCTGACAAGGACGACGGGAGATGCCCATGGACTTGCCTGAAGGCTCGATGACGTCGTTTTCTTGCATGTCCTTTAAACGTTTTCCTACCTCTTCCTGTTTATCACTCGGTAGAGATCTTGGATGTTGCTTGATTAGTAGATGATCTCCTGTATCACTTATACACTGTGTCAAACGGGTTCGACTTACGTCAGAAGAAGATGAGCGGGAGAAAAAAACTTGAAGTTCTTGAATGACACTTTCGGCAGCACTCCTCTCTTCATCGCTCAGTTGCGTATTCTGCAATAATTCCGATGTTATAGCCATTGAAGACACCGAGATTTGCATACCATTGGGTCGTTTAATACAGGTCACGGGAGTACATGCTGCAACCACTTCCCTTTTCCAAATGATTTTGGTTTATCACTGAGGTTGGCAACCCTCGCCGGGATAACTGTCTTCGATAAGTCGATGAGTGCCAAGGATGATTGTACTCCTAGCGGGCGTTACTATTGTAAAGGCATAAAATGTACATAATTAATTTGAAAGTAACTCACAAATATTTTTAATAATTATAAATATTTAAATTGCTTATTATCGTTTTTGGCAACAGTTTTTATCTTTGGAATGCAATTTGTTAAAAATAACAGAAGATGATTTTTGACTTCTGAGTTGGTAAATAAAATTATATTTGGTGTTGATATGGTAATACTTTTTTTTTTTTGTATTTTAATCAAACATCATTGCAATAGTAAAATTTTGTCTGCACCTTATTACTTTGCATCAACTAACAGGTGTACTTATACTGCTCTTAGTTCTTGGGCTATTCCACTATGCCGTACCGGAAACTTCTGTTTGCGGCTATGGATCCAGGAAGTATAAATTCTGCTCTTGCTGGTACTGTGATATCGTCTTAAGCTATGATTTTGTAGACAGATTTTAACATTAATCCCGAATAGGGCTATGTCCTCGGAGGCAGAATGCAGTTCGTTAAAGTCCAAGGAATAATTATATATCTCATTAGAAAGTCCAGCCCGAGTATGCAGGGATCTGGAATCTCTGCCACATATGCCGCGTGATGGCAGGCGGCAATTCCAAACGTGATGTTAACTTTAAATTTTTTATCGATGTTGATTTTCTCAGCGGACGCAGTCTCAGGGTAACGCAGTGTAGCGTCCAGATGACTTTACCTTCCAGTTATTGTGCCAAATCTTTTCGGTACAAAAATGGTGCAACTGATGCCAAACGGAATATCCTCGCTGGTAACCTTTTAGCCTCATTTTCAAAACAAGTCTCAGCCATTTCTTATCAGATTAAAGGATTTATAAGTTACTATAGGTTTCTCTGAACCTTCTTTATTTATAGTAGATGGTAGCTCAACACAAACCAGTCCATATATT